AGCAGGCAAGAGGGGAAATCAATCCTACAGCTGTTCCAAGGGACAATGGAGAAAATCCTCTGCTGGGGCCCAGCACAGGCTTGAGTGGAGTCATTTGCCTTTCCCAGAGCCATGGGTCTGTGATAAGTATTAGTTTTCCTTTTTTCTGGCCTCTACTGTGGAGGGATGAGGGAGGGCAGAGGAACAGAAGAAGTTGCTTGAAATTGGCTGCGAAACATCTGGAAATGGGAAAGCCAGGGGCTCAGGCTGTAACGTGAGCTCCAGCAAAGGACTGGTAAAACTCTGGGCTGGCCAAACTCCCAAATCTGCTTTTGCAGGTCTAACATGCCCTGCCCTGCTAATCCTGGGCATCTTTGGAGCTTCCCAGAAATACACCCATCTCGGGACAAAAAGGCTGAGCCCTGAGCAGAATTAGACTTTGGGTTTCTGCAACTGCAAACAGCACTTTGCTAAGCAGGTCTTGAGGACACATGGAGACTGTCCATGGACCCATGGGGACTGCCCAGAGAGGTTGTGGAATCTCCTTCTCTGGAGATCTTCAAAACCCACCTGGATATCACACTGTGCCATGTGCTGTAGGTGTCCTTGCTTGAGCAGGGAGGTTGGACTAGATGATCTCTAGAGGTCCCTTCCAACCTCAACCATTCTGCGATTCTGTGACTCTGTGGGTCCTGGCAATGAGATGCAGCTCAAAGCAAAAAACATCTGCTTAGAAGCTGGAAATTCGAGGGTTTCAGGGCTCAATGCCCCAATTTTTAGCTATCTGTTTAAATCTACAGCTGTAAAGATGGATGAAGCCATAGTTGAGTCAAGATTGTTATTCTTAAGGTATCTGCAAGTTCACAAGGCCATCAGGGAGAAGATGCATCATCTGCATCCTGGGAGGCCATGGAGTTACAGAGTGGGCTTGAAGACCATGATGAGGAGCAGGGCTGTGATGCTCAGTGCTGTGTAGCTGGTCCTCAGCCCTGGGCTGCTGGAGCTGTCATCATTGCAGAGGTCAGTGTAGCAGCACGACATGGGGCGGTTGGCCCCTATCCCACTAGAGGCAATGCAGTTCTCTGTGCAGGATCTGATCACGGTGATGTTGCCGAAAAAGGGGTAGCCTAAAGTGGACAGAAAGAAGAAAAGGGAGAGGGAGAAGGGAGAGAAAGAAGCAGGGAAGGTAAGTTTAGACACATCTCAACAGACAGCATGGGCTTCATGCTGGTACAGTGATGGGGAGACTTAATAAAAGGTGTTTAAATGTAAATAAAGTGGAATATATAAGAAGCTGAGCATCTGTAGTCCAGGTGCGCTGGCGTAATGCTGGCATGGTCATGCTGTTTTTCTCCTGTGTTACATAGTGAAAGCATCTCTGCACACAAGCAAGGACAGAATGCTGGATTTCTATGTCATGCTCACACACAGCTGTAGGTTCAGCTCCTCCAGGGACAGCACAGGGATAGAAAAGTCAAAAGAAAATAAGTAAGTGGAATTCTGTATGCTTTACTATGAAGCGGTGAGTCTAATGGATTCCTCTTGTTCCCATCCCTAATTTTAGATGACTCCACCTAGATTCCTATAGGGAAGTTAAAGAGCAATCCGTCATGGGGACTAGGAAGGTCAGAGGGCAGCGTGGGGAAGTTCATGAAATAATTCGGTGTGTGAAGGATGCATCTCTTGCTGTGACTTCTCTCAACAAGCAATGAGACTTACCCGTGTCTACGGAGAGCATTGTTGTTGTGCATGCGTTGGCTTTCAAGGGGCACAGGGTGACGTTTTTGCACAGAGAAATGTCCGTGGGTTCTTTACACGTGTAGCATCGTAAGGACTGGGCTGTAGAGGGGAACAAAAACAGGGTGCGAGTTGATCATTGCAGCAAAGAGACAGCGAGTCTGTAGCTTTTCTGCCCCACGGTTAGGAATAAGTGTTGGACCTCCAACAGAGATGTAGCGATCCTGGAAACCGAGCGCAGCTGGAGAAGTAGAAAAGCTTTGAAACCTCAGGGGGAAAAGTCACAAATCCCTGTACTCCAAGGACAGAGTTAGTGTCTCAGAAGCCTTGGCATGAACAATATCTTTGGGTTTATCAGCCTAAAAAGTGTGGGGATATAGAGGGATAAACAGTGTTAGCAGGATCCTTGGAGGATCATGGCTGCTCGGATTTCCTGTCCTATCATCTGTGATCATTCTGAGATTATTTAGGTGCATGACACAGAATAACCCACATGTGTTCACCGCCATCTATTGGCAAAACTGCAGAAAGACGATGCTTTCCTGAAGCAGAGACACCTCTGGGGCTTTTTTGATAAATCTTTTTGAAGGCAGCTGTTTGAACGTCTAACTCTCGGATTCATTTCCAGGACATCTATTTCCCTTTGCACCTCTTTGGAAAATCCAGCCTTAAGCAATGTGAGAGAGACCACAATGATGCAAGAGCCTTTTCCATCCCCTTTGTTGAGGTAAGAAGGGCTACTTTTCAAGTCGAGAAGTATGAGGAACTAGGCTGGTTGTGACCCTATCGTTTGTAAACAGGATCAGTGGAGCTGTCCTGGTTTAAATGAGCGGAGTATCTTGATATATCAATTCCAGCTGACCCACAGGAGATGGTTTTACATTTTAAAACGTAGCGCTCGTAGGGAAAAAAATCACAGAGCTGTCAGCTCCAAAGATAAGGATTATTTTTGAATATGCAGGACCAGCTTATGTATGAATGCAGTGCTAATTGTTTAAAGAATTCAAGTAACATTTGAGCTCACCATTTTTACGGGTGAGCCGAGCGTGAGCTCTGGTGGAGTCACTTCCAATTAAGAACAGTTTTAAGCAAGACAGACATCAGATTCCCCTTATATTTCATTAATTAGGTGTGGGACTCTGGTTTCTTGGGAAGACAGAAGTGAAAGAAGAAAGTCTGAAACTGTAAGGACCATAGAATAAGAGAAGATATAAAGATAGAGGGCAGTGCTGTGTCCTACCCTGAGGCCAGAAACTGCAGTCCACCACTGTCTGACAGCACTTTTTACCCCTTAATTTAAAAAGTCTGGAAGATGAATGGCGTTGTTTGAGCTGCAGATATACTCCTAAGCTATAACAACTCTTCCTTCCCTAGCTGCCTCCTGCTGCATGAGCACAGAAAAGTTGTTTCCCTTATCTCTGCCTCAATCTTAACTATAAAACAGAGGGTGCTGATGCTTATCTGTTTCCACAAAGCAAACTCAGATATGGGTGTGTAGAAACCTATTCTGTGAGGTCCACAGAAAACCCATTAAACCCACAACAGCATTAAACCAGAGGTAGGAAAAGAAATAGACATATTAAGACACCAATGAAGTGTCTGAAAGAAAAAAAATACAGGCACTGAAATGACACAGACCGCAATAGCTGTATGGAAGTAACTGCAGCTGTCCTGTTTCATTCCAGAGCCTGTAAGGAAATAGCGAGCAGATGGATTTGCTTTCAAGATGGATGGAAGGAGGAATAAGGGTAGGCAAATAAAAAATCAAGACAGCCTTAAGAAGACAAGAGAGAAGACATTTCTGCAAGCAGGGGTTTGCAGATTTTAGCCTTCTTTTAACCTTTTAGCCTTCTTCCATTTGCAACCCTCTGAACTCCAGGTGAACAGGACTCTGGATGGAAGTCTAATACCTCTAGCCAGGCTGCCTTTTCTTCAATATTTTTCAGAGACCCCTTGAAACAGCGTGCAGATTTCTGGAGCTGCAGGTTAAAAACCATGGGGCTGGTATCACCTCAGGGGCTACTCTCCCAGGCCAAGGAGGCATTTGCAGCAGGTCCCCAAAAGGCTCAGTAGGAACACAACCATGACTGGATCCCCCCACTAGATGGCCCAAGACCCTCATCCCGCAAGGACCAAGCCCAGACAGAAGCAAGGAAGGTTCCCCATCTCTTTCTATGTCCTAGCCAATAGGAATTAGTTTAAACTGTGGAGCTGGTAGTTTAATGAGCTTTCCAAAATCTTTCTAAAATTAACTGGAATTACGGTCTTACCCAACTCCACATATGCAAGGCCAAGCAGCAAACCAGCCAGAAGGGTCTTCATGATGTGAGCAGATCTGTGCACTCTGGTCAATAAGGGAGAGCTGAGCCCAGGTAGCTTTATATGCCCTTCACCCTCCACCTTCTTTTGATCCTGTGGGCGGATTCCCTTGGGTTGATCAGGGGAGAGCCCAGCTCCAGGCTGGATTGGGAATTGTAGTGAAACAAGTTCCCTGTCTGCAGAGGAGATGACATCGCCGTGACAAGCAGACTCCTGCCATACCTCATCTCTCCTCTTCAGGTTTATGTCCTGAGGCTGTTCTCATGCAGGAGGCAAAACAATGTCTTGCAATGCAAGCAGTGGCCCTGTGCAGTTTCTTGGATGGGGAATGTGACAAGGTATATTTGTTCCTTCAAATCTGGCTTTGCGAGCTGAAAACCAGATTACACCATGTGCGGGTCATGTTGGGTAACAGCAGGCAAAATGCAAGTGGCAGCAGGCTGGGCTCTCACCTGCATTGGCTCAACCTCCCCAAGACCTGTGCTGTGTTTTTATGCCCACCGCTCCCTGGGCTGGCAGCTGTAAATCTGGTTTTAGATAGATCTGTGCAGAGCTTGTCTATATTCCTATTTCCAGTGCAGTTATGACTAGACTGGGACACATTTGCCTGAATACATTTGAGAAAGCTCCACATTGATGCAGACCAAGATGGCTTTTCATCATAAATTCATGATGATAAGAAGCATTTCCTGGACCCTTTTCCTCTCTGTGCCAGCTAGCAGTTTGACATCTAATTTGTCTGAGACAGGAGTCTCAGATAAGTGGGCAGAGAGGGCTTCATCCCCTTTCCAGCCCAAAATTAAGGGAGTTGACAGTGTAGCTTACTCAGCAGCTGGGGTGTGGACATGTGATGTGCTTGCTCCAAGAGTGCAACACAGAAGCTTAGCCAGTTTCCCGATCCTGGTGGAGACTGGGGAATTCCTAATGAAAAGTTTCCCTCTATGTGTTGCCAGGTAATCTTTTCACAGTGACCTTTTTCATACCGTACACAATATTTGCAGAAGCATCTTTAAAAGTCTGGAATTATGGAAAATACTTGGCTGCTCCATTTTGATTAAGTCAAGGACATCTTGTGTTTCACGAGAGAAGGTAACCTGGTGTCGTCGCTCTTATTCTGATCTAGAGTGGAAAACTCCAGCATTATGCAATTTCCTGTGAAACAACCAAGTAACACACACACACACACACACACGCACAAAGAAATTTGTGAATCACTATCAAGTACTCAGAGACCTGAGGGATGGAGATAATGTCAATGTACCAGCTGGTTTTATAACTGTGGGTTATTTTTCTCAGTCCCATTATGGCTGTGTGTGCAGCTATTACAAGCATTGTCATGAGTCTATCTCTTTTCCTGATTTGAGACATTTTGGGAGAGTGCTGCTCTCTCAAGACCTTGCAGTTTCTTAAGAAGCATTGCTAATGAAAATTTCCACGGTTGCAGATGACACAGGCTGTGGTGACATGATGGCATGCTTGCTTTTCTTCCGTAGTTGGGTTCCTGAGGGATAAGGAAACCAGTTCTGAGAGTGAAAATCATCATTTACATTTAATTTATTTTGCTGGGCCACTAGAGATTAGGAGCACAAAGAAAATAAATAAGCACAAACACACCTCCCTGGTTGTTTAGAAAAGGCTCCACGTGCTGAAAGCTAGCAGACCTGGTTACATCCAGATCCTTCAGATCCTAAATGTGGACTACAAGCCACATTTGAGCAATATCTTAATTAATGCTCATGAAACTAGAGCAGAGTCAATACTCCAGGCATTCAAGGTAGCCATGTCTTAATACGTAAGCAGAGCAGGGTTGACAAAACAGCGTTCACACCACTAAAAGGCTCCTTGACAGACTATGAGCAGCTGCTAAAGAGAAGATGTTCACAATAGCACATTAGCATTGTCCACCTGTGCTTGAAAGGTGTTGCATACTGAGAAAATGATGGAATAACTCAATGTGATATAAGGAATAGTAATATAAATAAGGAACTAGATGAGTCTGTCCTGCAAGACGGAGGTTTTCCATTGTGGTGGTATCTGAACCTGGGATGTTGAGATCTGGCTGTAAAGAACAAGGTTGAGAAGCCACCAGTGCTGGAGCTGTTAAGACTCTTGCAGACTGGCTGACTAAATGGAAATGCAAAACTTCATGGAGAGAATTTGCTGGTAAAAATGCCAAGCAAAGGAAAGAGCTACAGTTATTAGCTAATCTAAAGGTAACTGTGACTGTGATGGAGCTCTGAATATCAAGTTGCACACTAGGCTGTAAGGAAGGAGGTTAGCAAGGCAATTAGCGTAGTGGTAAAGCTGTTGTACAAGGACCTGACGACTTTTCACCTGCAATTTCATTGTCTTGGTATAGAAAAATGCGAACCTGATGGAAGAAGTGCACTAAGTGAGCATTAATGGGAAGACTGGGGAAATGGGATCAACCACAAAAGACCACATGAGAAGATACTTGCCTCATTTACCTTGGCAGAGCAGAGGTTGATAGGATATATGTTTTGTTGCACACGGTATACTGCAATTAGCAAGAACTATAGAAGGAAAAGCTACTTAGGTTAAAAGATCACACTGGAATAGAGTTTAGACTAGCATGAGTTATTGAGTCCAACAATCAGAAGCAGATTTTTAAATACTCAGAAAAAATGGGTTTCTTTCCAAAAGCAGAGGCAAAGTGCAAGTCCCACCTGCTTTAAAATGGAGCTTGGTAAATATGTGGGGCAAATAACCAGTAGGACAGCCTTAGACAGCTCTTAGGACTCAGGAGAGTTTGATTTGTCTTTGTCTGGAATGGAATAAATTCTGGGCAAGTTTTTGAATGCTATCTGACAGGAGCCGTAAGGGATTCCAATTAAAATGTCTTCGCAGGTCTAAGGATGTGAGAATATGAATGAGATGTGGCATGCAGAGAAAAGGGTTTGTGTGCCCAAAATCTTGTCTGATTTTTCAGTGGTATCAATCCAATATCACAAGCCTCTCGCTGTGGGACTAACCTTGTAAATAAGGTAATTGAGGTAGAGATAATCACTCTCTGCTTATCACCTATGTGAGGAAAGGCAGATGAAGTTAGCTTGGTGTTTATAGGCAAGAAGACAGTGTCTTTTATAATTATCTATCTGATCTGACTCCTTTACAGATAATTCTTGTTTTGTTGAAAAAGAAACTCGATTTTTTTAGACATGTCCCATGATAGCATACTACAAGCTTTAATATGCTGTTCCAGCAACCATTTATCAGTGGTGTGTAAAATAAGCCCTATATTTCTAGTCTGAGGTACAATTTACTCAGCCAGTGGCTCTTACTACACCTCGACTTACCAACTCACCACTGCAATTTCGCTCTCCCCCATAGAGATGCATTTCAACTAGGATATGCCTTTGACACACTTTGGTGGGCTCTTGACTTCCTTCCCTGGGAGGTCTGTCTTCCAGTGCCTTAATCCTTCCTGTCATTTTTCTCTAAACTATCCTGGATTTACTAGCTTCACTGTATATTGCCCACTCCAGAGCTCAACGGTGTCTTTCAGCAACGGCCACCCTCATTCCAGATGCTAACAGAACGGATCCATTTGGCCTGAGATGTACATAAAAACAACTGTCTTGGCCCCTGTGGTCATGGAACTGGAGCCAAAACTCAATTTTGAGTGTCAATCTACCTGGAGTCAATGTTATTCTTGGGAACTGTGCCTGAAATCTGCCATCAGCTTCCCAGATATCGTAGTGATGGATGAGTTATAGTAAACTAGAGACACTACTGATTAGTACAATGATCCAGCTATTTGTTTAGCTCTTGGGATGAAGATATGGTGTGTTTTTGTTGGGCATTATTGGGATGACAATGGGCTCTGCTGTCATTGGTGGTGACTCAGCAGTGGGGAGCTGCACTTTCCATGACCGTGGCTGCAGTGATGCTTGATGATGTGTTCAGACAACTGAAGCTCCTGCCTCCCAAGGGTGTGAGCTAATAACAAGACTATAGGCTTGTCTGGGTGGAGCAGCTCTCCACCCTCCTTATGAAAAAGTGCCAATAGGCAGAAAGGAATGCAGGCTTTTTTGGGCCGGAGAGATGGTGAAAGTGTGACCATGACTTGGTGAACATCATTCTCCTAGGAGCTCTTTCAGTATTTTTTCCTTTTATATATATGTATATTTACATATATGTAATACACAGGCTTCTCCACATAGGGGAATATCAAAGCATTAAGAGAAAGTCGCACTCCTTGCTCTGATCCAGAGGCCCTTTTTGCCCAAGCGTGTGCTTCATTTTATTGGTTTACAATCCCTGTCTGAAGGCATGAACAGGAAATCAAATCTCTCCAGGAAGAGAAGGAAATAGTACTTATATATCTCACATGCTGGCTTATGCATGATAATCTCTAAACCAAAAAACAGGTCCATAGGTACAGATGGGAGGAACTCCTCCACCCCTGCTGTAATTTTAGGAAGGGAAATGAAGTCTGTTTGGTGTTGAGAGCAAAAAGGGCAGTGTGAGGATCATCTTTGTGTTCCTGTAGAAAAGGTCTGAGGAGAAAATCTTATCCCCCGCCCCTATTCTCAACACTTTCTTTGCTTCTAGATGCAGGGATGAGAGCAAACCCTTCAGGCATCACCTTGCCAGCTGTGTTTCATCAGTGCTAGGAGGAATATAATTCTGCTAGGCATTTGTAGAGGGAATTCAAGAGCCCAACATGCAGTTTTGAATTCTGCCCCAGAGGGATGGATATCTAAGAATCAGGCACTGAAAAGGTCCTTTTGACTGTATCTGTCTTATCATGATGAACAAGACATTGAGCTGACCATTGAGTGTGCTCACTGGAACTGATGCTAACTGGGAGTCTCAAATGCCATGGCCTCTGCTGATGGCACTGTCATTCGTTGTGCAACTCTCTGCAGCATTTTGGGAGAGGAGAACATGCAAAGACTGGCCGGGATGAAGAGCCTGATACCTCGCTCACCTTAGCAGAAACTCTCTTCTTTTTTTTTTTTTTTTTTTTTACTGGGATT